ATTTATGCTAAATGTGAAGTGAAGATAGAGTAAAAGAGAACTCAGCAGAAAAAGGGGATTTTTTGCTAACTAGTTATATTTTCACTTTGCCTAAGAAAATGCATTTACGTCTTTGGGCAAAATAATCAAGAAGATTTGATAGACTTCTAGAAACATATGAGTCCATCAAGATAGCAAGATTTCTACCAAAAGTATGGCATATTGCAGATCTTCTTTTAGTAGTGGTTGAAACTTCACTAATTAAAGCCGCTATACAATTTTGCTATCTTTCATATCGATGTTTTATCTTTAATGAAGTTGACATGACATCGATTTTGCTAAATGTGCTATCTATACAAACAGAATTTATGTAAAGAAGCAAAAGTTAAGGTATCGTAAAAAATTGGCTAATATTATGAGAGTTGATAAGGAGGTGATAGATTTGTATGTTCAAGAAAAATGAGTGCATAAAGGTATTCCTTGAAAATATCTCTATGATTTCGTTGTAAAAGATCTAGATAAGGACAAGGACTAAACGTGTTACCTTGGTGATATATGGTTTGGTGATTTTTCCTAGAGTTTTAAGTCATATTGAGAAATAAGTGGTAGATTTATTTGAACAAATGGAAAGAGGATGTAAACCTTCACCGATAATTTTATTAGAAACTATCAGGTCATTTAATTATTACCACCAAAATGAAAAAGGCTATTTTTTGTGATGTACTCGATTACTTTACTTATGGATGAATAGTCATTTTAAATGTAAGAAAAATGCATTTTCAAAGCTTCATTTCACAATCGAACTCCAATCAAAGAATTTTATGAAAGTGAATAGCCAGACACAAAGTCCAATATAGAGTAAGAGTTTCTGTTATAGAGGCTTACAAGTGCACAAGTGAAGTGGTTAGTCCTATAGATGAATTGTGAACCGATTTTGTATCATTGTGGAGATGAAACTGGCCGTTTTAAGGTTTATGGAAGAAAAGAGTTATGCACCACTTATGGTACAAAGTTAGTTTGGAGCTAAACAATTCATTCCCATGACACACAAACTCAATCAATTAGATTGTCTTTATGGTGTGCCAAAAACATTTCAAATATTGATAGTATGGTTAAAGCATGAAAAGCCCCAATGGGTAAGCCTTAGGCTTTTTACTAATAAAGCCACTCATGAATATCTTATATGGAGAGCAAAGATAGGCAAAGATTCATGAGCCAAGAGTTAGAACAACTACCATTAGATGTCGATATTTTGAAGAAAGAATTTGAAGTCAAAAAGGATACGGTGAAGCAAAAGATTTAGTGACTTCAAGAAAAAAATAATAATGGAATGACAAAGTGGAAAACAAGAAGTTAGAGTCCATAAGATTATTAAGGAATGTGACATGACCTTTAACAACTTGATTGAACAACATCAAAGAGCACAAGAAAATGAGTATTGAAATAGAGAATTGAGAGACTAAAGTTTGAAATATCATAAGATAATGTAACACTACTATTAATGAGTTAACTGAACTATATTAAGAATGCAACAGGTGTTGTGTCAAATTGAAGGCTAAAAAGATAAATATCACTTACCTGATCTGTAAGAATGAAAGATTGAAGAAAGATATTCTTAACTAAAAGATGAATATAGCTAAGCTCAAACATAGAATGCCTTGTTTAGGAAACATATTCAAAATTTGAAGCAAAAATTGAACGATTATGAGAACTACATTGCTATATTCATTATGAAACAGAACGAATTGTCGTACCAAGTTTAGTTTGGTAAAAGAGAAAATTTGGAACGATAGAGATACATAATGCATTTGGCAATACAAATCTACATAATAGTGTTCAAGGTAGGGGAAATGGCTAAAGAGGTAAAATTATTAAGACATGAGGTGAACCCAGTAAGAAAGCATGGACAATGTTTGATAAACAACATCAAAAAGGCAAAAAACCAATATGAGTAGATCAAGTGTTTTTATAAGTTAAGAATATTAGATTGTGTAAAATAGACTTCTTTGGAAAAAATGAAAGTTCTTTTCTTGGATATTGTCAAATGGCAAATATTCTTACATTTTTATTCATTCATGCATTGCATTGTATTCATGTTTTATTCTGTAGCAACATTTTAAGCAAAAACATAATATCTTTTGCTAATTTAAAAATTTTGATACTTAAGATTCAAGAATAGTTCGACCTTTGAAAACCCCAATCCAGCCCACTTATCACCTGTACAACACTCGAGTCCAAGCAAAACTTATAGTGCAATAACAAGAAAGCCATTTTGAAAAGATAGAGAAGGCACAAGAAAAGCTGAAAAGGGAATTGAATAAGACACTGAAAATGTTGAATAAACTAGATAAAGGCAAACTAGTGGAAGATTCACCTAGCTTGCATGAACATCCATTACAAGATGTAGTGGATCCTCTGTACCCTTCTAGGTTTGATCCAAACCAAGCCCAAACTTCTCAAACACAACTATTCATTTTTCCTAGAGCATATATTTATCTAGAAATGTCATCTGCGGTTGTTGCACAAGGACAAATTCAAAGTTATACCAATCATATCTTTATAAAAAAGACAACAAAACCAATTCAAGTCCCTAATATGGATGACCAAAATGAAAAGGAAAAATGAAGCTGAAGGCAATGGAAGCCTTAGAAGACTCAAAATCTGAGCAGAAGATGAACTCGCTAGAGGAGATGTTACAAGCTGTTCAAAGGATGGATTTTTATGGCTCAATGGATATGATCAAACTTTGTTTGGTTCATGATGTAGTTATCCTACCAAATTTCAAAGCTCTAAAGTTTAAGAAATATGATGTTACTAAGTGCCCAATGACCCACATTACGAGGTACTATAGAAAGATAGCTATTTATACCAACAATGAAAAGTTACTGATTCATGCATTTCAGGAAAACCTTACTAACTTAGCTAGTAAATGGTATGTCCAGTTGGACAGGACCTGAATCTATTCATAGAATGAGCTTGCAAAGGCATTCATCACCTAATATTGACACATCATAGACTTGACCCTAAATTGCCTTTCTTTGTAAAACATAAAAAAGGAGACTAAATCTTTTAAATAGTACATCTAAAGGTGGAGGGACATGACTGCTCAAGTCCAACAGCCTTTTACCAAATGAAACTATGGTGTTATTTGTTAATAGCTTAAAGGCACCTTATTATGAAAAGATGATTGGGAACACCATAAAAAATTTTACAGATATAGTGATGCCTTTACAAATTAGGCCATGTACTTTTTTATGAAGTTTCAAATTTTGGATATCTCACATTCGTATAATCGCTTGTTGGGTAGGACTTGGATACATACTGCAAATATTGTTTCACCATTACTGAATCAAAAAATCAAATTTCTTGTTAAAAATCAACTTGTGTGTGTCACAAAAAAAAGATTTGTTGGTGACTCATCTTCTGACCACTCTATATGTAAAAGCTATAAATGAAGCTTTAGAGTGTACATATCGATCTTTTGAACTAATTAATGCCACTTATGTGGGTGAAGGCTCTAAGCTATATTTTCTTTGCTTGTCTATAGCTATGAGAATGGTCACTAAGTAATTGGAATTGGTTTTCTTAGGGTTGGACTTGGAAAACATTTGCAAAGAATTAGAGTGTCATCAGTAACATTCGACAACAAGAAGAGGTTTAGCTTTAGTTATAAGCCAACAAAAATGGATAAGAAAAAGATCTTTGAAGAAAATAATGTAAGAAAGATGGCAAATCTTAAGGGAAAGGACCCTGAGTTTGAACAAATGGTTATTCCCTATCATTATGACACATTTCAATCAAGAGGACACATCTATCTGAAGTTACTTTAAGCTCTTAAAAAAAGATTTTTCATGAAAAAAGCTTTATCATAAGGGATAATGTGAGATAGGTTATTGGAGCAGCAATTGTTAAAATGGGAATAGCAACAAATGCCTGCACGGTTGAAACACAAGCAACCAATTCTGAAGATTTGATTGTCACTTATGTTTCTATCGTGTAGGCATTTGTTGCTAGTCCCATTTAACTATTGTTCCAATAACCTATCCCGCATGATCCCTTATGATAATCCCTATACCACCTCGTCTGTTGCTTGTGTTTCTCCATCTATTGCATAGATAGTCATAAAATGTTTTCAATATGAAGAAGTTGGAGATTTATCTACCATTAGACCAATTCTACATAATGTTAGAGAGTTGTTAGAGCAATTTGAAGATTGCCAGCTGTAACACATACTAAGGAATAGGAATGTGGCAGCACATGAATTAGCAAATTTAGTCTTTCAATATCAGAAGATGTGTTTTGGATTGAGAAAATCCCAAACATTATTAACTCACTTGTAATGCTTGATCTTTTAAATATGGAGAAACAAAAACTTTTTTCCAAAAAAGTTGTGGTATTTAAACCATGAATTTATTAATTAATGTGGTAATCGGAGGATTGTTTGTCCATTATGTGTCATCATTTAAAGCTAACCACATTAGAAGAGAGTACTATATTAATTAACAGATCTATAATTCAAATATCACGTTAAATATTCTTAAAATTCAAATAACAAGTTAAACATTTCATATAGTATAGGGGCCATTATGACATTAATCAACCTTTAATAATAATACTAAAACTTTCTCTTGAAAAATAATAGCTTATATTTGTGAAAGTTATGCAGAAATGTACAAGCTATACAGATTAATTATTGGTTAAATTTAGAAGTTTATTGGTCATGTTTAAACATTACAAGAATAACAAGTATCAGTGACAGAATTTTACCGACAGATTATCGACAAACTATCGAAACCATTTCCAACAAAATTTATCGATGAAAATAAATTTATTGATAATTCGTAAGTTAAAAATTGATGCCATTTAATGTGAAAATTACCAATAAAAAATTTTATTGATAATCATTTTTGTTACCAAAAATAATTTTTTAAAAAAATTTTACCGATTACGAACAAAAATTCCATAAAAAAATTTTAATAAATTTGAAACTTCCTTATCAAGGAAAAGCCTAAATCCTCATATTTCCTTCAAATCCCTAATCCCTCTCTCCCTCTCCCACTCTCCCCCTCCCTCTCTCCCCACCGTGTGAGTAATTACAAGATATTTCTCTTTCCTCTTTCATCGTTCTTGCCCTTTGATCTCCTCTCTATTTTGGTTTAATTATCTGATTTCCTTTTTTTTTTAATTAAAAAAAGAAAGAAGAGGGGAGAAACAGTTATTGAACGACGTCGTAATGGAAGCACATGGCGTCGGACTCCGGCGAGTGTTAGTGTTGGCATTTTGCGTGGTCGGCATTTGGTCGGCCTATATTTACCAGGGCGTTGTTCAGGAAACTCTGTTAGTATTTTTAATTTTATATTCATTTTTGCTTTTTACTCAAATTGTCCTTTTTTTATGTTAAGTTTGATTCTTTTCGACCTTTTCGATTAATTGTTGCTTCATTTGATCTGTTGCTGATAGTTTCTGAGATATGCATTGGATTTTTAAATATGCAATGAACTATTCGTAATTTCTTAGTTCATTTGGAAGTGGATTTAGATGCAAAGAGGAAGAAAAAGGCTTGGATCTCAGTGAATATTTTACCGTTGATTTAGAAGTTAGTTTTAAAATGGCCTTTATTTGGGTTGAATTAGAATATTTTGCCTTGAATTCTTGCATTTCAATTTAATTGAACCTATATTTCGAAAATGGAAACTGTTCAATTAAACAGTAACTTTTCTACTGCTTTTTGTTGAGTATTGTTGAGTTTTTAAGGTTTTGTTGGAAGCTTTGAGGTATAATTCATGGATAACTTTCCCTTTTGTTTGCGGAAGCGATTTCTAATAAGATGTTTTGATCCCTATGTGAGTGAATCATGTTGTTGTCCTGTAATTGCATTGTTTGATAGCATTCGATACGACTGTTAGAATTGATGAGAGATTTCAAGGTCTGTATTTTCTTGTGCGCCTTAGATGTGATATGAAATTTATATTGCTCCATGCTCGCTTTGGCCATTTGTGAATTGCAATGCTGATTTCAATTAGGTTTAGGATTTACGTCAGCAATGTTGCATGGACTTAGGATTTGGTGTGAGTTGATATACGTTAGACATGGTTATTTTCAATTTTTTACATTTAAGATCTATGCATCATTCACCTATAAATTAAAGCATTCAAGAATAATGGGATACAGGTATGGTAGGATAAAATGAAGAGTCCATTTAACACAGCAAACCAGATGCGTTATATACTTTTTTTCTTTCTTGATGGACCTGAATATTTTGTTGACTCTATTTGTGCATTATTATTTTACAATGGGCTAGCAGTAAAGGTATGGTTGGTCGTTACCTTTTTTTTTTCCAGTTTAGATCATCGAAAGTAGGTAGAACTTAGACACAAATTGCTTTGCTGTTCTGTCTAAATTTTCATCTTGGTTTTGTTATTTTTTTTTGCTAAAATGCTGACTGTTATTCGCTATGAACTTTTGTTTGTCAGTCGAGTCTCATTTAGAAAATTTTTGAAATCTTGGTTCTTGTTGGTTTCAGGTATGAAGGATGAGGTTGATACAAAATCTCAGACAGTCTAGGCTGAGCCAAAAGGTTCCTTCCCTTCTATCTTCCTTCCTGTGCATATCTGTATTATGTCTGTCACTTTAATATTCCAATTTTCATTTTCTTGTTCTCATTTTTAATTTGGTTGTGCAGTGGAAGACAAGGAAGTAGCTACTCCAGAGGATGCTGAAGCACTATATGAAATGGAAACAGAAAAGAAGAGCCACTTGAATTTTGTGTTTATTGTTCATGGTGGTAGGTATTACTACTTCATGGTTTTGTTTATGTGAAAATTAGCTTGCATTACATATTAATGTCCATTATGAACAGGATGTGCTAAGCTAGGGAAACAGTTAAAAATTATACTATTAACCTCTCAAGCCCCTTATTTATTATGCATTTTTGTGAGCTCAATTATGTGTATCAGCCACTTGCATGAGTGCTGTGAAAAGCAGTTATAAATTTAATTATTACTAGGACCTCCTGGTTAGAATTGAAATTTGAGCTTGGGTATAGAGAATGCTACTTTTTCTTTTTGGATAATTCAATGTTACCTTGAAGCTATTGATTGTAACCTTAAAAAGAGAGTTTTTAGTCTCAAGTTGAAACTGCTTATGGTGAATTAGAAGAATAAGTAATAAACGAGGTTTTTACTTTGCCAAATTCACTACCTGATCAATAACGAGAATGCCTTACAGTCACAGGATTTTCGGTAATTGCATTATCTGACTTAACTATTTTCCATATGTTAAGTATATGGCATATATTATGGACACTAATGAAGAGGACAGGGTTAAGGTATTGTATAATAGGGAAATGCTGTTACATAAACTTTGAGAATATGTGTTGGAAGGGAAGGAAACATTCACATGTTCTGTAGGTATTTTTAGTATTGTATATTAGAAGTATTTGTTTATTTGACTTGCGTATATTACTAAATGTCCGTTCGAAATTTGTAACATATATATATTTTTTGTATTTTTATTTAATAGAATTCATAAACAATTTTGTAAAATATTTTACGTTCTTTTATAAATAAAATGAATGGAGCGTTTTATTTATTTATTTACTCTATTTATGTATATTTAGTATGTATGTAATTATTTTAAAAATAAGTATAAAAAATAAAATAAAATGACAAAAATTATAACTAAAATATATTAAATATAATTACTGATAGAATACAGATGAATTTTTTAATTGGTGATTATCGATTATAAATTTCATCGATAATAATTCCATTGGTAATTATTGAAATATTTTGTTTATTATCGATAGAATAGCATTACTAATTTGGTTAACATTAATGGAATTTTTCTATCGTTAAATCTGTTGTTATTGCTATTATTGACATTTAAATAACTTTTACTGATGAAAATTTTTCTTCATGCTTCAACTGTAATTTCTTTTAACGAAATGAAAACTAATATATTTCTATTTTCAGTAAATATCTTCGAAGATGTTACATATCTAGTAAATCTAACTCGAAATCGCTTATTCTGGCCCAATTGAAATTTGATTGATTTCTTTGATCAATAATTTGAATCAGTCAAAAGTAATTTGAATTTGACATGATCCAAATTCGAATGAAATCAAAATAAAATTGACTCAAATCTTAAATAATTTGAATTTAAATTAATTCAAATAAAAAATAATTTAAATTCAAATAATCTTAAATACTTACTTGAAATGATTTAAAATTAAATTGAGATTAATTTTTCTTTCTAAAATTATTAATATATTTAATAATAATAGATGAAATATAAATTATTAACTTGTTAAAATTTAATATCTTTAAATTATATTTTCAATCTCTTTTCTTAACTATTATTTTTCTTAATAATGTTTAAAAAATTAAAAGTCCATTTCTTTTTTTCTTTACTCTAAAATATTATAAAAAAATAAAATAGACAAATAATAATTTTAAAAAAATTAAAAAATCAATAAAATTTAAAATCTAACAATAATCTATAAAGCTAATTATAACAGACAAAACCATCAGACTAAAATGAAAAATTATCATCACTTGTTTATAATCTAAAAATAAAAGAAAATCTAAAACTTAACCCAAATTCTATAATAGTCAATATGTCACAAAGGTTACACATAATCAAATTAGCATATACGACAAAACTCTTAAGCAAAATTAATTTTTATCATGAACAAAATTAATTTTATATTTAGCATAATTGTAGACACTTTATTGGGTCTGGGCCCAAACAAAATTAGGTTGGCTTAATAAAGCCCAAAGTATAACTCCAATAAATTTTTTTTTTAGGTTTTATTGACTTATTTTTATTTATTTTTGTTATTTATTATTTATTTTTGGTTGATTATTCATTTATTGTTTATCTTTGATTTATTGTTTTTTATTTGATTTTATCTTTAGATTTTCGGTTGAGATAATAGTGATAAAAAGAGTAAAAAAAAAGTATAATAATAATAAAGGTGATAAATATTCTGTCATGGATTGGTGTTAGTGAAACTGTAGATGGATTCGATTTGTGATGTGATCTTGTTAAAGATTGACTTATGATTAATCAAAAATTCTTTTGATTTTTCACTATAAATACACACAGAAATCAAAGCAAGAAACACAGATCAGAAACACAATAATTAAATACAGAAACAGAGAATGCAGAAGCAGAGAGATGGGAAAGTCTAGTAGAAAGCAGAGATTAGAAAAAAAATTAGAAAGGAAATTTTGGAGATTTTTTTTTGGAAAATTTCTAGAAAATTTTCAGATTCTAGCAAAAATTTTCAGTGAAACTTGCATTTTTCGACAAAATTTTTCAGTTTTCAATGGCTTTTCCTAGTTTTCGGCAAAACATTCAATCGAAATTCTAGGTTTTTAAAGAAAGAGGGAGAGAAAAAGAAGGAAGAGAGATAGAGAATGAAAGGAAAATCTGAGAAAAAATTGAATTTTGGCTTTTATAGCCAATCAAAACGACATTGTTTTAAGGTTAAACAAGTCCCAAAATCCGTGCGTTTCCATTCTAGCTAATCTAACCTGATCGCAACCCGTTTCTATCGACCTGCGCTCTAGCTAACTATTTTAGCCAAGCCAAGCCGCGTCTTTGGAGCTACCCTTTGTGTCTCTAGTCGAGCCAATTTAACCGTTAAGTCAAGCCAATTTATTTTTTTTGGTATTTTATTTTATTTATTTATTTAGTTATATTTATCTTATAAGTTTTTTTATTTATTATTTTGTATGATTAAATTTTAGAAAAATAAAAATATAAAATGAAATAAAATATTTTTTTGAAAATAAATAATAATTATCCAAGGATGAAATTTTTTAGAAATTTTAAATTGTAAATTTTCTATAAAATTCATAGGTAAAAATTTTATCTGAATTTATCTCAAATGGTGGAATAATTTAGATAAAGTTTCAATAACAATAATTGATATTTATTTTCAATAAAAAAATATAAAAGTTTTTGGGAAATAAATGCTAATTACCCAATGATGAAATTCTTAAAAAATTTCAAATGATAAATTTTCTAAGAAATCTTTAAATGAGAAATTTCTCTGAATTTATCACAAATGATGAAAAATTTAAGAATAAAAAAAAAGAAAATTTTTAAATTGACCCAAATAGTGAAAAATTTAGAAAATAAAAATAAAAATAAATTTCAATGATGAAATTCTTAGTAATTGCAAATATTTGATTATTTAAGAAATTTTTAGGTGAGAAGATATTTCTAATTTAGCCCAAATGATAAAATAATTAGATATATTTTCAATATAACAAAACCAAAATATAAAAATAAATAAATTAAACATTTTTTTGATGATGGAGCATTTTCAAGAAAATAAATGGGATTCTTGAATACTCTTGAGGTGAAAAAATATTTTTAAAAATTTTATCAGATTGATGAAAGAATCTTAAGAATTATTTTCAACATTTAAACATTAAAACTATTAGAATCAAAACTTTAAGATAAATTTAAAATAAAATGGTACTATCTTTTGGATGGGCATATGGGGGTGTTATTTCCCCATATGTAACCAAATCCCTAAATCATGTTCTAGTTACTAGATCCGAACACATTTTTTTAAGAACCCTTAATCAAGCTTAAGAGTTTCTTAAAAGAATAGATTCATTAGGTGACCAATCACACATAATAAAAAATATTGATGGTGACTCCATTTGTTAAGCTTAATTATAAATTTTCAGATCTATATGTTTCATAAGTTTATATTATTAGCAAATAGCTTTAAATTCATTTAACTTTAATATCTTAATTTTGATATAATTTAACTATTTTGATAGAAAGTATAATATTGTTCTCACAGACATTGATGATCAAATATTCGTTAACTACTAAATTTATTAATTAATTATTGATGAGAAAAAAAGACCGCTGAAATTATTATTTTTATTTGCTTTGCTTCCGAAAATCCATGAATTTGAAGTTTTATTTCTTTGAGAATTGACAAATTTAAAATAGTGGGGCAAAGATTAATTACTCTATTTCCATAATAGTTTCACTTTTTGTTTCTTTGTGGTAATAATAAAAATATTTTTTAAAAAGAAAGGAAAAGATATTTTCCATGTGCATGTTAATTTGTATTTTGATTGATGTGAAAAACTAAAAATGGCAAGATGACAACTAGCGCTAGGTTCAAAAAATAATCGAACCGGTCATCTATGTAAAATGTTTCATGCATGATAGGATTTGAACTCATGAGCTTCTAATTTTTCGTTAATGATTAAGTTATTGCAACAAATATATATTTTTGTCAATTATTTATTATATTTAATACTTATTTAATACCACAAAATTATATTTCAAACAACAAAATCCCAATTTAATTGGATTGGTCAATTAAACCGATTGAACCAATTGAATCCAAGACCGAAAATTTCACCATTTCAACCTTCAATCCATTTTTAAAGCATTGTCAGTAAAGACAGTTACCTCATTTTTTTCTCAGTCAAAGTTGAATATTAATCCAAGTATTATCTCAATTATAAGGATTTAACCCATTTCAGGGAGTTTAGTCTCCGTATTTTCATCGATACTAATTTGCCACTCATACAATGTATAAATTATCTTTAATTATTTAAATGTGTATAGTTACATAAATTAACATTATTTAATCATTTATATATTCAAGATATAAATAAAATACGTATAATATGATTAGGGAATCAAATCATCATAAATTAAAATTTTTTATTAAAAATTTAATAAATTTCCAAAATGTGAAAAAAAAAATATTTGAAGAAGAATAAAATATCCAAAAGATATTATAAATAATGATACTAAGTGCACCAACAAAATATTAAAATAAAAACTAAAAGTTTCATCACTTCAAATTAACTTTCTTCAATTTGCATATCTCCATTTTGTGTAGTCATTTTCAAGTACCGACAAATTTATATGATTTTAAGATTAGTTTCATTTATTTATGAGAAATAATTATTTTAAATGTTTAAACAATGTACTAAGAACTTAGTTTATTTCACAACCTATAATAATAACATCCTACAGCAAGTATGGTGTTTCTTCTATTTTGCATGTGAGAAATATACTTACAGTTACACAATTCACCTAAAAATGAGAAAATCAAGTCAGTTAGATTTGAAAATTTTAATAATTAAAGCCAAGTTCCTCTATATTAAGAAAAGCCAATTTTTTTCATGAAACAATTATCAGACAGAACAAAAACTAATAAATATTAGAAAATAAATAATATCATATGTGTAATTATTCATTTGTAAGATCAAATCACTAATGTTTTTATTTCTAAAAAATGCAATTAAATGTTTTATTTAGAATAAAGAATACAACTAAATGTTAACTTAGATGTTTGTTGATAAAAGGTCTCATACAAAATACTTACATATGGATCTATTCTTTATCGTCACCCAAACTAAGAAACAAAGAGTTCTATACATTTTTAAAGAGAATGATGCAAATAAGCATTGCAACAGAGTAATAAAACATCTACCTACCTATCATTTTTTGTATGAGATTAGTGCATTTAAAACCGATGGTATAGTATCATTGCACATGGTATCGCCACTTGAGGCCTGCAAGTATATTTGTCAATCGCCATTTCTAATAGTGTTATAAAACATAAAGCCTATTTTAAAAATAAAGTGATTACCAAAAAAAGCAAATTTAATGTACATATTTGTAGGTTAAAGATAAGAAACATATCATCAACACTTATAAAATAGAAGAATAAATACTTTCATAAATAGGAACTTTATATTTCACAAAATATAAAGAAGTATACATAAAAGGTATTGAAAAAAGCAGAAAAATATAATTGACTTTAAAAGTTTTTTAAATTATTTGTTCTAATAAGTGATATTTGGTCATTTTGAATTTAAAAATAATCAAATAATAGAGAATTATTTTGAAATCTCTAAAAATAAAAGCTACATTTGAGAGTTTGAAATTTAAAAGATATATATTTAAATTATCCAAAAATCTATTTTTTTTAAGTAATCAAGAAATTCATTTTAAAGATAATATATGAGTACATTTTAGTTTTTTATATTTAAAAGGATATATAAATCTAGATTATTAATAAATTCATTTTAAAAATAATATATTTTACATTTTAGATTTATTCTTCTCTTTAAAAATATTTACTTGGGTGTTTTAAAGTTTTTATTTTTTTTATTTTGTTAATGTTTCTAGTTTTTATTTCAGTAGAAATTTTGTGATTTGGATGGATATATGTAATTAAATTAATCTATAAATAATTTAAATATATATTATTATATTTGAGATTTTAAAATTCACAAAGATAGAGATATATATTTAGATTATTAGAAAATCTATTTTAAAATATCATATATTACTAAGATTTTTAAAATTAAAAAGATATTATCTAGATTACTAAGAAATTTATTTAAAATTTAAAAAGATAATATATTTAAATTAAATTTTGTTGATAACAATATTTAATTATAACTTACAGATTTTGTTGGTAACAATTTATTTAAATTATATATTTAAAAAATATATATAAAGATAATTATATATTTCTTAAAAAATTATTTATTTAAAATGATAAAAAAATAATAATAATCAATTATTATTATTATTATTATCTTACGTATCATTCAAAAAAATTATCCATATAACTATCTATGTGATAGGTTTTGTCAGATTTTTATGTCTATTACAATATAATATTATATATGATTGAAGATAATCATTAGTGGTGTAAATTTGAATCTTTAAATTGGCTGACATGGCTTAAACTTGACCAAGTTCCATCGTATGTGGACTTCTTTTATATATTTTAGGGACTACAAATCTAAGAATTTTTTTGGTCTAAGTCCCTACATTTTTTTATCATGTTTTCTTTTTTAATTATAAATTACAAAGTTTGTTGGCAACAATATATTTAAATTATATATTTAAAAAAATATAAAAAGATAATTATATATTTTAAAATTTCTATATATTTAAAATGATAAATAATAATAATAATAATAATATAATAATAATAATAATATTCATCATCATCATCATCATCATCATCATCATCATCATCATCATCATCATCATCTTACGTATTATTCAAAGAAACTATCTATATAACTATCTATGTGATAGGTTTTATCAGATTTTTATGTCTGTTACAATATAATGTTATATACGATTGAGGATAATCATTAGTGGTATAAATTTCAATCTTTAAATTGGCTGACATGGCTTAAACTTGACCAAGTTGCATCACATGTGGACTTCTTTTATATATTTTACAAATCTAAGAATTTTTTTGGTCTAAGTCCCTACGTTTTTTTATCATTTTTTTAAATTATAAATTATTAAAATTATGATTAGGAAAATAATCAAAATAAATTATTTGAGATGGAGTAATTAGTTGGTTATGTTAATTACTAAAGGTGTCAAAAGTTGATTCTATGAAATTTGGTGATGGTACACATTTTCATTGTCTTTTGATTGATAAGAGGTAAGAGAAAATGAAAAACAAAAAAAGAAATTTGTAGTTAAACAGTTGAGAATTTATCTTGAATTTTTGTTTTACATGGGAATTTTAATGGAGTTATAAGTATTAAGAATTTGTTTTGAATTTCATATAAAATTTTAATAAATTTATAAGGGCTTCACCCTTATAAATAAGTTATTATCCAAATAGTTAGACACAAAAAAAAATAAAATTAAGTGAGTAGGTTATTAAAATAATATGATTGATTTTAAGATTTGATTATATATTTATAATTTTTTATAATTAATAAAATTTTTCTCTTATTTATAGAAGTAGGCAAATGAAATGTTAAATCACGTTAAATTATTATATTTTACATAGATAATTTATGATTTGATTTTGTTTTCATTAATTTGTAAATCCAAGATTTTTGGTTTAATAACAGGAATCAGAGCAGGTTAACATAAATGATTTTATGTTTGATATATGATTTACTCTCTCGTTTACTAGCTACATTGGGTAGATGAATTTTTATATAGTATTTTAACTGTCCTTCGGATAAATGATGAATTTTTAATTATAAAAAAAAGAGAAATTATCTGAAGTGAAATTTAATTTTTCTCTTAATAGGATAAAGAGATAAATGAAAATGAGTTTAAAATGATACATTTAATTTGGATTCTGGTTTTTCTGTAAAATCTTAATTTCATTTTTCAAATCTGTCCAAGTTTGTGAAAGAATTAATGAAGAGGAAAATTTTAATAATAGGGACTTATACTAGTGTATTCTTACATTATTTTAGATTATTAAATCAAAATTTTAAATTTAAAAATATTATTTTAATTTAAATGAATCATAAATTTAATTTTAATTTAACGATCCAAAAACTATAGGAGATTTGTGCTCAAATTTTAAATGGTAATTTTTCTTTTCTCATCTCCTTACCATCCAACAAAAAAAAATTTAGTTTGTGCTCTCCATGCACCCTTTCAGAATATTATACATTGAAAGAGCATAAATTTAACTGCTATCAAAGTTCCCAATGTCTATCAAAGAAATTTACTTTCACAAAAGCCTTGCACCTTGAAAATTCATCCAATATTACATGTTATGTCTGCTAAAATTAACCGTTCAAAAAAGCCTCCATGAAATCAACAATGAAAATCTAAAAGCTCCAAGGAATTGCTCGAACCTCTCTATTAGAAAAAAAAAAAAAAAAAACCTGAACCAACGTACGAGCATCTGTCCTCTTTACCATGTCGATGATGATGACGTGATTGCAACCTTGTGTTTCCAAAGTCTGCCCTTAGTCCCGAAGAGCTGTGTCATGTCCTGAATCATCAATGTGTGCAGTCAATTTTCTTTGGTCCGAAGCAATAAAAAAGAGTAGATATCATTTTCAGAGGAAACCAGCCATACATAGCATCTAGAAGAAGCAACGACCTTCTCCAATGCACAATTTTGTTCATAATTGTCTTTTTGACTTTTGTAACGAATTTTCTTCTATCTAAACAGGATTCAAATTCCTAAAAGAGAGTTCTACAAGGCTAAATTCTGCAATCTATAGAAAGGTAGAGTCAGAAACACGTTATGCTTTCTTCGCCGTTGAGGTTTCCAAGAGTACTCAGCTTTGAACGCTTTAAAAATCCATGCCCCCTGTATCAAAAATTCATCAGCTGAATATAGGTTGGTCATCCATTTCAAACCAAACAATATATGTAATTTTATAAACCCAAAGCGTCCATCATTGCAGCCTTCAAAGATATGAACCTGTAGTTGACTCTTGATCCCTTTAAAGAGTAGGAAAGTTGGTTACCTACAACTGCCATCATTGCATAGTCTCCCTATAAAAACCACAACATTCTTCCATCGCTGCATCAATTCTAGCCACATTTCAAAGTTGCAGGAAATCAGCACAATCTACAGGAATTCTCAGCAATTACCATGAAGATGGCAACGTGTCTTGTCCTGGCCGTCGTAGCTATGCTTTGTGCAGGAGCTACAGCGCAGTCAGGTTGTACTAGTGTATTGATCAGTCTGTCACCCTGCCTCAGTTACATGACCGGAAATTCATCAACCCCATCTCAACAATGCTGCACACAGCTAGCTAATGTTGTGCTTTCTTCACCACAATGCTTGTGCGAGGTCCTCAATGGTGGCGGTTCATCACTGGGGATAACCATCAACCAGACTCAAGCTTTGGCCTTACCTGGCTCATGCAATGTTCAGACTCCACCCATCAGCAGCTGTAATGGTAAGGATGCAATTACATATGTATTTCAATTTAATCTCAATCTTGCATAAATTTCAACAAAAACTTTTGCTTATTACAGGAACTTTAAGGTTTCTGCAACAATCAATCAGGAAATAACTGAGAAATAAAAATAATAATAGTTTAAAAGTTCTTCATTTAATTAAGAGATGATTGGAATTTACTCAAAAATTTGTCTGGTATTACTAACACCTCGCCTGCTTGTTATCAGCTGCTTCTCCAGCTCCAGCGGACTCTCCAGTTGCATCACCAGAATCAGGGAGCATAATTCCCACGGGTACAAAATAGTTGTTTTCTTCCAGACTATTTCTTTCATTGCCAGATGACTGCCATGTTTAGGCATCCCATTCACTCTGATTTTTTCACATAGAATTTTAAACAATCTCGAATAGCATGAAAACAATGAGTTATATTTGGCAAAACTTTTCTCTTTGTTCCTCAACTTTGCCCATCGGAGTAAATGTTAAAAACGGGTGCAGGAGGTGGATCTAAAACAGTACCATCCACGCAGGAAGATGGCTCTTCATATGGAGGCACCACCAAATTGTCACTCTCTTTGCTCATCTTCCTTCTATTGGCCACATCATATAGTTCAATCTTCTCATCACACTGAATGTTCTCTAGTTTGCCCTAACTCTCATGACACTGTCCTGGTAGCGAACATTCTATGAGATTCTTGATTTGTTACTTACTTTCCCTTTGGTTGAGGATGCATGTGATATTCATACTTTTATCCCCTCCAAGGGCCAATATGTTTTTGTCTTCCCTTCTCAATAAAGATTGTTTATGATTACTACTGAATGTCTAATAGAGGATTTATTAACGTATAGCTCTTCAAAGTGACAAAAAGTTAAACCTGAGGTTTAACTTAATTGGTTTATCTAATTGTATTAATAGGTGACATTCAACAAGTACGAATTCAAATCATAACACATGTAATTCTTTCTTTTATACTCAGGCTGTGACTGCACCTCTTTTGTACATAAATAAAAGTGACAGAAAGTAAAAAAATCATCAAAGCAAGAACACAATACTAACATATGGAAGTGAATTAGAGTTGAAGCTCAAATGATATAGAAGTCTATACACTCAAGACAACAATATTGCAATTCTGTCATGTGTTGAGGTCAACAAGCAGTGACAAAGTGGCCGAATTGATAAATCAAAATTGTAATTTGCTAATGATGTTTTACAATTAACTCATGCGAAACCTTAAGCAGAATGCTTCTTGAAAACCGCCTTGCGCTACTAATGTTAGTATTCCGAACGGTCAATTCATTCCAGCAGAATTTCAAAAGGTTACATGTGCATTGGCACTCAATAAAACAAAACCATCAGCCAAGAGTAACCATATGGTTTAGATATCATCATAATGATCCCATCTTTATGTCATTCCTGTTACAAAGATTAAATTAATTCAAGCTATAAAGGGCTTTCGCGTGCTCTTAGGAAGCTATGTTTTGAAGCTGAAATTAGAAGCCTAAAAATCACCACATCCAAGGTGGGAGATGGCAATCTAAAGAAATCAGATGACCAAAACTTTGTCTTAAAGCAACAAATCGGATGAAAGATAATAGTGTCAACAGTCATGCTACTTGCTTGGATGGCAAGCCAATTGGATTCACAGCATTCAAGCCGGCTTCTGCCAATGATAGATGCAGAGGATTAATAAGTTATGCTTTGGGTTCAAAGTACTGGGGCAAAGGTATTATCACAAAAGCTGTGAAAATGGTTGTTCCAATTATGTTTAAAGAGTTTGCAGATGTTGAGAGAGTGCAAGGTCTTGTTGATGTGGATAATCAAGGGAAAGATCACTGATGTTTTGTATTTAGCCCATTGATCCCTCATCTCATGGCAAGTTAAAGGGTTTGTTTGATTTTTTTTCCTTATTTCTTTTTTGATCAAAAAATTGTTATTAAACTTTAGCAAGAATAGCAAACCTTTTCAAAGCTACATATTTGCTTTAATTGTAAGTCACAGCTTTAAGTTGCAAAACCTCCATGCCCAAGCTTGGAGGCAGAAAAAAAGCCCAGTTCACCATACATAAACCTTTGTCTGGATTTGCCAGCACTGAAAGGGTAGATTGTTTTTAAAGTGATATGCACTAAAGGTAAGATTTTTTTAGGACATTTCCCTGCTACAAAAAGTTTCTAAATGGCAAACCAAAAGACAGTCAGAATAATGGACAATACTTGCTGCAATCAACTTACGGTGATCTATTTTATAGTTCAACCATAAAAAGGAGAAGGAAAAAATTTTTAATCTAATGATTAAATTAATAACATGTATTAGTTTATAGCTCAACCATCAAATTGTTTTTTTTTTTTTTTTTTTTTTCTTTACATCTTATCAAGCAGAACGTAAATATAAGTGTATTTATTAGTATTCTATAGTTCTCACAGTTTCAATTGGGGAGTGAAAAGATCATATTAAATCTAACAATTTAAAACATCATGTGAACAACACAAAAATGGAATGATTTAAAATTTTAACGAAAAAACATATATGAGTTTTACAAAAATAAAAAAATGTATAACTTATTTTCCTTATGAACATGAATCATATAATTTTCATATAAAATTTGATACAAATTATGAATTATCAGGTCTAAGAACTACTAGGGAAGAACTAAAAATCTTAAATCATTCTTAAATTTTACTTGAACATTGTGGAATGATCCTTCTCTTTGTGCTTGATTTACTTATTAGTTTAATTCTTCCTTATCCCATAGCTGAATGAATAATTCAGTTGAATAAAGTAAGCGGACAAGCTTTTCTCAACAAGTCACCTGCAGCTTGGACTTTGGATTCTTATCAGATAATCAATTGCCAGCCAAGAGGTTGGTTCAATTTAATGCACCAAATTCTACATTATTTGACCAGGTTCTCGTTTCTGATTACAACAACTGACATATATTTATGGCTAGAGTAACCCGTTATCTTAGTTGGATCACTGGTTCCAGGGAAGAGGCCCCGCCATACCTTGAGAAAGTTGCTATACCCCAACCTTATCGTAGGTCCATGTTTAGATGATCATTCGATCGGATATGTTTCAATCAAGCCAGGATCAAGTGATGATAAATGCAGAGCCTCACGGTACCTTGGGTATTTAGTGAGTGCAGAGTACTGAGGACAAGGAATTGTTGCAGCTGCATTGAAGATGGGGTTTCCAGGATTGGTAAGGCATGAAGCTTTTGCAAAGGAAGAAAATCAGGGTCCCAAAAGGTGTTGGAAAAGGTTGAGTTTTTGAAAGAGTGCCTGTTAAGGAAGTATGGGTTTTCAAAAGTGAAAACAGAGACATCATTGTCTATAGTTTCTTATCAACAGATAGGATTGATTGGGTGATTGTTTAAATTACCCCTATCATTTTCAAAATTATCATAATAATTTAATCATTAAAATGATTTTATTACTAAAATGATTTTATTGTTTGTGATTTGAAATTATTTTATTTTGTTAAAATCATTAATTCTTAGTAATTAAAAATCAATGTGTTTGATATTATTAAAAATTAGACATTATTTTGTTTGAAAGTAAATAATTATGTATATTATAATAATTATATAAGTTAATAATTAATGTTATTTAAAGATAATAACGTGTATATAAAATATTAGTGATATTTTATTTACTTCATAATAAATATTATTAAATTAAAAATATATTTTTTGATAGTAAACTAATTTTTATATTATAAATTATGTAAAAAAATATTTGAATTAAAAAATAAAACTAATGTATTACAATCAAAATATTATATTATAACTAAATTTTTAAAAAATTACAAAAAAAAATCACATAAAATATTTTTGAACTTGTTATAATAAATAATAATTTAAAAATATAAAAATTATAATATAAAGTTATTCAATTAATTTTAAGAAGAAGTTTTTGATTTTATATATTCAATGGATAATATTTATTTTTATTAATTTTACATATCACTTTATTTTAATGATAAAATTTTTTATCTCTTTGGATGAGAATTAAATTATCCTTCAAAGCATTGATCTAATAATTCTTAATGATTTAAAATTACTATTACATAAAATCATTAATTGATTACTAAACACAATAATCTAATCATTATATATAAGTCACCGTAATTTTTTTAACGACCACTTTATATCAAACACATCTTAAAAATTTCAAAGTTCATATTGTACTTTGGGCCACATTGAGGACTAACCGGCCCACAACCTTAATACCTTAGGGAAGAGGGCATTTTTAATGCTGTAACAAGGTCGCTATGTCCCATCCTTGGCTTAAATTAGATTATGTAAATTTAAAACAAAAGCAGTGCAGAAAGACAGTATTTAATGTAATCCATCAGATAAGATATTTACACGTATGACTTTCTCCCAGGATAACCATGAATTTCCAAACAACATTTATACAATTTGTCTACTTGTTTCTAAATGAGTGATGAGCATTGGGGTACTTCAATTGATTTATCTCGAAGGAGTATGAACCGTATTGTTCGTCCCACCTGTTATTGTGTGGCAAAAGTTTACATTGTATTTGATATATATATCATTGAAGGGAGCATTCACTTATAATTATTATAGCATAATTAATTAATTATAATTTAAAATTATGTAAGATCTATAAAAAATTTTATGTGAATACGTTTATAAGTATGAATCTCCACACAAATTTTTTTATTGTGATTCAATAATTATAATATTATAATAAAAATAATTATAACTAATATACTCTATTAATATATTAATTATAAAATTATAAAGTACAAGAACTATTTTGACTGTATTATCATTGTGGAAATAGAAGTTCTAGTTTTTTAAAATAATTTCATTTGCTAAAATTGTAAATGGTAAGATCATATCACCTCAAGCTGAGAGCTGATTAATTGGAGCACTGAAATTGCCCTTTCTGCTGGATTCATATATGTAGCTTCGATTGATCATCTACTTAGGAAAATTATTGTATAGTGCACTGAAATTTGTTCATAAGTGATTTCTAGTACGCCAACGAGTATTTGACTTTGCAGCGTAAGGGTGTTTAGGCATTGAAGGGAAGTCCAAGTTCAATGAATAATCTCCTTATTTTTGCCAAGTTTTATAGTTAGTGAAATCGGATGAGT